GCGGCTCCCCGCTTATGCAAATGAAGCCTGGGAAATTCAAATCCCGGGCTTCATTTGCAAGTGCGGTATGCCTACATTACCCTCCTAGTTTGAACTAGCGGGGTAGTGTAGACATACCCCAATTTATATCTGCATCCGTGGATGTTGCTACAGGTATCCACTGCTCATTTTTGTGGATACAAATGCCAAAGCAGATACAGATTTTATACCGCTTATGCAAATGAAGCCTGGGAAATTCAAATCCCGGGCTTCATTTGCAAGTGCGGTATGCCTACATTACCCTCCTAGTTTGAACTAGCGGGGTAGTGTAGACATACCCCAATTTATATCTGCATCCGTGGATGTTGCTACAGGTATCCACTGCTCATTTTTGTGGATACAAATGCCAAAGCAGATACAGATTTTATACCATGCAAGGATATACTCAGTAGCTCTGCCTGGGTTTTTTCTTTTCTTTTCTGTTTCGTGTGTTTGGGAGACTGTAATAAAAATCATTGGAAGGTGAGCTTAGGGAGCAATTTCATTTTTAGCTCACTTTTTTTAGTTTTTGTGAATTTAAGGCTAAGATTTGCTATGTTAATTCCACTATAATAATCTATGACTGAAACAGAAAACATCTTTTTCCTGGGAGCATATGAGAGTTAAAATATTTGATAGGTTGAAATATGGGTACCGCCACCAAATTGTTTATCTAGTGCTTTATATTTTTTTCACAGATCATAATGACTACTTTGAACAATTAGTATAATTGCAAATCTATGATCTTTCAAAAGCCTACTACAGGTTGAAACTCTTTTAACCAGGGTTCTTTGGTCCAGCAACATTCATGGCCCATCAGGATCAGAGAGTCCTGGTGCAGGGCCAATGGCGCGTATCCCTGTGGGACTAGCAGAGCAGTGGGTTGCTCGCAGTGAGCTGATGGCAGGCCCATCCAGTGCATGGTAGCAGGTCTGCCCAGTGGGGTTGGGAGACATGTGCGTGGCTGCCCAGCAGATCCTGGAGCCCCAGTGCAGAAATGACCTCCCCTGCTATGGCAAAGTCCCTCATCTGGGGCCAGTCAGATCCCGAGAGTGCCAGATCAGGGAGGTCCAACATGTACTGAGTGATAGACTGTAATAAAAGTGGGAGGCCAGCAAGTCAGCCAAAGGTGCTGGCAGCAAGGAGTCCAGAAATGACCTCCCCTGCTATGGCAAAGTCCCTCATCTGGGGCCAGTCAGATCCCGAGAGTGCCAGATCAGGGAGGTCCAACATGTACTGAGTGATAGACTGTAATAAATCTGGTTTTAGATTCTAATCTTGAAAGCATTTACACATGTGCATAGCAAACAGTCCCACTGGCTGAATTAGTGGCACTGATTAGCATAAAATTAAACACATGCATAAGAGCTTGCAGGAGCAGTATCTCATTTTGCAGTGGCACAATTTGCTAGGTGTGAGCAATCCATCTAATGACTAGAATCAGGTTCTTAGCCAAAGATCAGAGCCAAGTCCCATTCCAAGCCAAGAGGCCAGTGCCAGAGTCTGTGGTGCCAAACCAAACGTCAGAGTCTGGAGTCAAGGCAGAGATCGGAGCCCTAGTCAGCATCAGGTTAGGGCATAGAATCACAGACCTGGAGCAAGGCAAGAAAACAGGAAATGGGAACAGATGTGGGTCTATGTAAAGTAGAGCATGAACAGATGAGAAGGGAAGATTCAGCAACTAAGCAGGGTCTAGAGGAACAGCCAACCAAGTATTCACCTAGCTGCATAGGTCAGTTCCTGTGCCCCTTTCTGGTTTAGATAGTGCATGCCAGCCAAACAGTAAGGCTGGATGTCTCCCCCAGTCAGGAGTTTGTGGGTGGGGTCCTAGGAGAGCTAGATCTTCACTAACCCCCTTCTCCATTGGTTCACGTGAGCTGCCAATGCCTTGCAACACACAGGGATGGGTTGGAGGCTGTAATCCTTCATACAATCATGTATGTGAATAATCCCACTGGCCCTAACAGAGTTTTAGGCCTCCAGCACATTAGTTAAAACCATATGTCTGAGCTTTGTACTTAGAAGATGGTGAAAACTGTCGGAGTGTGCATAGAGATGTTAAGTTGCAGTTAATTAGCTAATAAAGTAGTCGATGGAATTTCTATCGACTACTTGATTAGTGGATTAGGAAGGACTCTCTCTACCTCCACTGTGGCTTGGCATTTTAAATGTAGTAGGAGCTGGGAGCACAGGCAGCCTGTCTCCTACTACAGGCAGTCCCCGGGTTACGTACAAGATAGGAACTGTAGGTTTGTTCTTAAGTTGAATCTGTATGTAAGTCAGAACTGGCGTCCAGATTCAGCCACTGCTGAAACTGACCAGCGGCTGACTACAGGAAGCCCGAGGCAGAGTTGCTCTGCCCAGGGCTTCCTGGAATCAGACTCTGATCAGTTTCAACAGGCTGAATCTGGATGCCAGTTCTGACTTACATACAGATTCAACTTAAGAACCCCAGGCGTCCCCAAGTCAGCTGCTG